TCACACAGTGATTTTTTTCAACATTTCTTAGATCTCATCCCCAGTTTATGAATACATCTATAAAGTTATCTTACACATCAACAATAATAGTCCATTTCTTCAATTAAAATTTGTTTGAAATTTATTTTAAGGTAAAATTTTATTATGGCTTTCTTTATTCTACGATTAGATTTGTGTGTTTGCTAAGACTCAGGAGCATAGAACCACTCAACAGAGTCACTTAGTTCACTAAATTGCGCAGATTGAAATCAGCGAAGGTCTTTGTAGACAAAGTATTATTCAAGCTGTACTCTCTTCCCTGCTCTTCGCTTACAACTGAATTGAGCCTACCTGATACATTTGGTATATTTCATCAGGTGTATTAAAACTTTGATAATACATTAATGTTAATGCTAATTGTTTTTGAAGCAAAGATAGGGTAACCAACATGCTAGTCCCTGTTTGCCCCAGACGGTTCTGGTTTTACCACTGAAAGTCCTGTGTCCTAGGTGGGACTTGCTTCATAAGCATGCAGCTGAGTGTCCCCCACCCAGAACTACCCATACTTGTTTTAATACTCTGCTGTTGCTATCTTGAAATTCTTGGTAACTTTTGGACCAGATGCTCCATGTTTTCATTTGACAGTGGGCCTGCAAATTATGTAGCTTGTCCTGGACCTGGGAAACCCCACAGTCCCAGGCAGACAAGGATCCTTAGTCACTCTGCAAAGGTTCTGTATAACATCTCTTCATTGGCTTGATTTGATAGGGTATTTCTACAATACACAAGTCAATTAAATCATTTAAGTGTATCCTACTACTGCATTTATGGCTTTGCTTCCTTTTTTTTTTTGCTGAGGAAGATTCATGCAGAGCTAATATCTGTTGCCAATCCTCCTGGGTTTTTTTGCTTGGGAAAGACCAGCCCTGAGCTAATATCTATGCCAGCCATCCTCCATTTTGTATGTGGGACACCTCCACAGCATGGCTAGCGAGCAGAATTGGTCTGCGCCTGAGATCTGAACACGCAAACCCAGGCCACTAAAGTGGAGTGTACAGAACTTTAACAACTTGGACACAGGGCCGGGCCCTATGTTTTTTCTTTTTAATTAGGCAAGATCATTTAATGATAGTTTCATATACAAGTCACAGATTTGCTACATATTTATAATTTACCTAATGAATATTATAACATATTTGTATTACATGGTATAGTTTACAAAACACTTTCAGGCACATTTTCTCATTTGACATTCCCAGTAGCGTAATAACAAAGGATTAATAACCAGATCTTAGGGCTGGCCCAGTGGCTTAGTGGTTAAGTCTGCACGCTCTGCTTCACGGCCTGAGGTTTGCAGGTTCAGATCCTGGGCGTGGACTATGCACCGCTCATCAAGTCATGCTGTGGTTGTGTCCCACATACAAAATAGAGGAAGACTGGCACAGATTTTAGCTCAGGGACAGTCTTCCTCAAGCAAAAAGAGGAAGATAGGCAACGGATTTTAGCTCAGGGCCAATCATCTTCACCAAGGGGGAAAGAAAAAGATTAATACCCAGATCGCAAAGGAGAAATGGAGGGGTGGAGAATATGTTGGTTTATAGTATCTGTCAATTTCCATAGTGTGAATGTTCCCTTAATTGTTAATTTTAAGGTACTGCTTGATATCATTGAGTAAAGACTTGGGAAAAGATGCTATCAGCTCTCACAGTAGATAGGAGTCAGCTCGAGCACACCATTAGGATATTCCACATAAGGGAGATAGAGTAAGTATCAAGACACTTGTCCTGCAAATGAAGATACTGAGATCAGGAATCTAGATGACACGTTAAAGGTTACATGTTTTCTGAGTGGCTAATGCCAAGACTATATCCTCAACTGTCCCATTCCAAATCCGTGTCCTTCCCCCTATACCATTCTGTTTTTCTTATCTCTCATATGAATAAATTTGTATGTAGGGATTTAGCTATGAGAGCATACATATGCCATGGATGAAAAAATTCTCATCAAATAAAGTTACAGTCACGTGTCGCTTGAGGAGGGGATACATTCTGAGAAATGTGTCATTAGTTGATTTTGTCACTGTGCAAACATCATAGAGTGTACTTACACGAATCTAGACGGTATAGCTTACTACACACCTAGGCTATACAGTGCTGATCTTAGGGGACCACCGTCGTACATGTGGCCTGTCATTGACAGACACGTCATTATGCAGTGCAGGACTGAAGTTGCAGGAAAGCATAATTAACAAAGATTCTACTTATATTAAATTAAAGGTAATCATTTTTAAGATGCTTTGGTTAAAATCACTTAAATATATGTTTGAATTTTTCACAAATGTGTTTGTATTTATCAACCTTCAATTTCAAATAGGATCTTCCCTATGTTTGCATATCACAAAGCCTCATTTTCACAATTTAATTATAAATGGAAATATGATGCACATATTTTCTTATGTCACTTCATTACTACTTAATTACCACGTGGCAACAAAGATTACTGCATCGCAACACCTTCAACTCCCATGGGGGCATTAGGCTGTTTCCTTGTGTTCGTATGAAATTTAATTCTCACAGTAACTCTGTAAAGAATATATCATTAGACCAACTTTCCGGTGGTAAAACTAAGGCTGAAAGAGGCAAGGTAGTTTGTCCAAGGTCTTTCAACTGGTAAGTGGCAGAGCAGGGATTTGGGCTGATGATCTACCAGTTTCAAAGCACTGCTCTTAATTATTCTGTTACACTTCCTTACTTGGTATAGAGCTCTTAGTTGTACTAAAATATAAAATCAATGAAATGACAATAGTTCTTCTTTTCTAATTCCAACAGTACCCTTGTTTCCCTGAATTCTTTTCATGAAAAAAGCTGAGGCACCTGATCCAACCCAGTTTTCCTTAATGTATTTTTTCAGGGTCCATAAGGCCCTATCGTGGTGGTTCCTATGGTCCCTCTCCCTTTGGATGAGGACTATAGCAGCTTCCTATCACAGGGCTTCAGATGGCATACAGTCCGCTGGATCAATCAGATTTCTGTCATAAAACACAGAGGAGGCCCAAGTTCTTAGGTGGTGCCCCCAATGTGTAAGGCCAGATGTTCACCTCCTTAAGCCCAATGTTTGTTTCTGTCAAATTTAATTCCATTACTGAATTTCAAAAGTTTGTGGAAAGATATAATTACCTCTCAGAGATTGCTTTTAAAAGTCGTTCTAAGTAGAAACTACTATCAGTTTGTTACATTTGCATATCAGCTCAATTTAGGACTAATGCTTTTCTGAAACAATTTTTGTTCACTGGAAGTCTCAAATACTGGTCTACTCCACTCTTTAGAATTCAGTTTCTATATAGAGCTAGAAAATTAGACTGTGTATCAGCATGTAAGACAGTGACTTTATTACTTATGAAATTTTCCCTTTGCAGAAACTGTTCTAAGTAATTTACAAATACTAACTCATGTAGTCTTTATAACAATCTTATAATAAGGTAGCTATTCTGATTATCCTCACTTTGTAAATGAAGGACTTCAGGTAAAGACAGGTTAAGCTTACCGAAAGTCATCTGGATGGTAAACGATGGTACTAAGATTTTAACCCAGATAGTGGGACTCTTACCACTACTCTCTGCTTCCTCTAAAACTTGGTCTCTCTATTTGGAAGATTTGGGGCCATGACCTCCCATGTTGATGATCCAATTTTGCTACCTATTAGCTGTGTGGCCTTGTCAATTTATTTAAATTCTCTGAATCTCAGTTCCCTCATCTATAAGATGAATGTAATAATAAATATGGTATAAGGCTTCTGAGAGGTGTAATTAAGATAATGGATGCAAAAGGTTGTTAGGAACTGAAAAAGTGGGTCTTTTTGATGTCAGCAGGTGTTAATTACAGAGACTCTCCGGGAATTTGTGAGACTCTTTTGTTGGGATATTGGAAAGAATTTGTAATTTTTTCCCTTTTTCTTCTTTGCATTTTACCAGACCTACTTCAACTCATCCTTGAGGATATCAGATCCTTGATCAGAGTTTCTCTGACAATAAACACTTGGTTAGGTCCCTCTACTTAATAACACTTAAGCTTCTCCGGTTTTAATCATTTGTTTCCTTCAGATTATAATTACTTATTCATGGTCCAGTTCTTTATTAGATTGTAAATTCTGAGAGAGAAGGCTGTGCATCACATTCACTAGTTATTCCTAGGGTATTGCAAAGTGGCTGCAGACGGTAAATATTTTATAAATGCTTCTTGAATAAATAAATATGCAATATTTATTTCTCTTTCTAAAATGTGTAACCCTAGTTGCTAGCATAGTTTTAAAATTGGTAAAGCTAACATTTTTTGGAACGTGCCCACAATGTTTCAAGATTTATGCCTGAGTACGATGGATCACGGCTCTGAATCTGGCTCTTATGTTATTATTTAATAGGCTGTTCTCTCAATATTCTCCTGTTGGAATAATTAATCGTATATAGACAAAAGACCAAGCAGCTTGTATGAAAAATCGTTATGGTGTTGTTCAGCATGGAGGAGATAATAGTGGGTGGGAGAAGAAAAGAGATATGCGATTATTCATTTGAACAAAGCATGTTAATAGAAATAATTACCCATAAATCATGGAATACATTTTGGGGGATGCTATTGGGAAAGAAGAATATATGAGGCTAAGGGAAACAGAATTTCATGCTTTTCTCTACTTGGTGGAAAATGAGATAAAGTGGGAAAATAATGTAGAAGAGGGGGGAAGGAAGCAATGGCAAGTGGGAGAAAATAAATGATCTTTTCTCAGCAAAGAATTGAGACTTCAATGTAAATGAGCCACCCCAGCCCCAAACTAAAACCCCTGGTAATTGCTGGATACTAGAGGGAAATCACTGAAAAGGCTCAAACAAAAGACCCAACATGCATTCATTCAGTGTGTTCACAAAGCCCATTTCCTCAAACTCCTGGATGCACAGCCAACCTTCTATTTAGGCGTGGCCCTGTGGATGAATTGTGACCAGTGGAATGTGGGCAGAAGGTATTAGACTGCTTTCAGGCTCGACCCATATATTCATCCTGTAGGACTCTTCAAAAACCCTCTTTTCCCATCTCCCAGGAATATGCGGAAGATTCCATGAGAGAGCTGGGGGACAGTAGAGAAGCTAAAAAGGCCACGTGAAATGCCACTCACCAACCATTAACATCCAAACAGGACTTTGTGTGAGCAAGAAATCAATCCATTTTTTTTAGGTTAGGCCACTAAAGTTCGGGGGGTTGTTTATTACAGCTCCTATGTCTTAGTCAATTTGGGCTGCTATAACAAAGTGCCATAGACTGGGTGGTTTATAACCAACAGAAATTTATTTGTCATGGTTCTGGAAGCTGGAAGTCCAAGATTAGGGATTAGGGTGCCAGCATAGTCAAATTCTGGTGAAGGCTCCCTTCCAGATTGCAAACTGCTCATTTCTGGTTATATCCTCACATGGCGGAGAGCAGAAAGGTGAAGCAAGCTCTATTGTGACTCTTATAAGAGCATTGATCCTATTCATGAGGGCTCCACCATCATGACCTCATCTAATACTAATTAAATCCCAAAGGCCACCCAAAGACCCACCTTCTAATACCATTACATTGGGCGGTAGGGTTTCAACATATGAATTTGGAGGAGACACAAACATTCAGTCTGTGACATCCTAGCATATTTCTCTAATATATTCCAATTTCCTAAGTTATATAATAAAAGCTCAAAAGTTTAATAATTTGAAAGGTCTGGAGTAAAAGAATATTTTGACACTTCATTTACCATTACAGAATTAGTGTTGTTTTATTTGAAGCTTGTGATAAGAGTACTTGATTTCAATTTTACATATTTCAACAAACGCTAGGAAAAGAGATTGTGCCAGAAACTGTTATTTTTTTCACCAATACTAATCCTCTTCTTTTTCCTAATAATGAATATCAAATGTGGTGGGGCACATGGCGCTGGCTGGAGATTACATTTTCCAGTTTCCCTTTAGAGCTAAGTATGGCCATGTCTGTTTGACCACAGGGATAAAACAAAATTTATGAGAGACACTTCCAATTACGCCGTTAAAGAGTAATGGACGTGCACTCCTCTTCCCATTTTGCGTTCTTCCTGCTGATCAGGATGAAGACATTAGAACGTGGATCTAGAGATAGAAGCTGGGAGTTGGGGTTGGTAGAATTGCACTCCTGCTCCTGGATTCTCCACCTCTGTGTTGTTTCAAGAGAGCAAAATGAACATCTATCTTTTTAAAGCCACATTATTTGGATTTCCTTCTTATAATATTTTAACATGAACCCTAATTAGTAGGGGGAGAAGCAGACCAATTCAGCAATATCCTATGAAACTAATGGCTTGAGGAACCTCACAAGGAGTATCCAGAACCACAGTTGCTTTTGGGGCACATACACGTGAGGCTTCTTATCCTGACTAATGATCATATTTCATGCATTTCTGCCTCTAAAACTTATCCTTTATATCAGTACATTCTTTTCCTTTTATTTAAGCACTGAAGTTATAATTCCAAGTTCACAAGCTCTCAAAGCTTGTATTGATAAGTCACCTACCATGAAGTCACTGTCACAAGATTCTGAACTTACTATAGGATGAAATGAAAAAGAAACGTAGTTTGAATTAAAATTATTGATAAAAGATAACAAAATTCTAATACTCGAATAAATCCTAAAAAGGATTTTCTTCACTGTAATATAACAGAGGCTTCCAACATTTAACAAACATCTTATTGGATGCTCACATGAACACTCAGAGATAGCACAAAAATACTATCTCCGTTTTATACAGGAAAAAGATGGGCCACGTGAAGTTAAATGACTTATCCAGGGTCTCATGTCTTGAGTTTAAGACTTACTACATTTCTAAACATTTCTCAGTGAGATTATGAGCTCAGAATTCAGTATGGACTTTGGATTCCAGCACTGCCACTTATGATCTATGATGCTGTAAGCAGAAGACTTTGCATTTCTCATGTATTTTTTATCTATTCAATGTTGATAATAGGTAGAACTTACCACTTACAGTAAGATTGATGAAAGGTAGATAAATTGCGTACTAAAGTACCTAGCATTTAGTAACCTCTCAGTAAATGTTAGCTATTAGTTAAGTTTTAATTTTTAAGGGAGGATAGATTTATAGTACAGTAAAGATGCACAGCCTTAGGGAGTACCATTTACATTCTATTTTATGATAATTTTAGTTTCTAGAGCACAATACAATACAATTTGGATGGTAGCTCTAGAGCTTTACAATGCAGTAACCGTAATGATGTTTTTAAAAATAAGAACTGGATGGCTCTTATCTTGAGAAAAGTGGCATCTTATCACATACTTGGCATTGGAGACAAGCTTCTACTTTACACATTTCCCTTGGATACAGCTACAGCTGTACCACAAATTTCTACTGAAATCTATACCTAAATAAATCATCTCTTTGATCCTCATAAACTTAAGTGTAAAGAAAGAAAGGATAATTATCCACAGACTCTGGCATGAAATGGATTGGCTTTAAAAAGATGGAAACTAGAGTTAACTCTTGGTATGCGTAGATGTAACATTTTAATTTTAAACCAGATTTTCCCAAGTAAGTTTCTTGAAATTTATAAACTAAAAGATTTTTAAAGAGTCTTTTGGGAAATAAAAGACACCAGGTGATGGTGGTCGGTGAGTTCTATTGTTAAATTTGTTGGAAATATTTTGAGTGAAACAAATCAAAATCTCTCTCTATATTGCAGAGCTTCTCAGATTGCTTATTCTGAGATGTGTTTTAAAGCTCTAAAAGGGTATGTACCACCTATCCAATGCTTTAGCCTAATGTTCAACTTTTGTATTTATCCTACTCTATACAGATCTCTTTAAAGGAAAAATAGATCGTTTATTTCAATGGCTTGTTTGGACTATTTGTATCAGATTCCCAAAGCCAATGACGTGCAACCATTTTTATTTTTTTGCCAAAGCAGGAATTTGACTCAACTGCATGACTTGAAAATAGGAGCAAGACTCTTTCTTATCCAGTAAGCTAGCCTAGGCATCTACTTGGCCATTGCCTGATTAAAAGGTTTGTGGTTCTTACCTTCCCATAACATAAACAGTAGTCATTATGAATTGATATGGAAACTCATTCTTTCATAAAATATGAAATATGACCATAAAACAAAAAGCAACTGCTAATGCTGTTTGTATAAATGAAAACAAGGCAAGGACATCTAAGAAGGATGGTTCTTAAGATTAATAAATAAGTTTTAGAGGTATTCACAAAATTAGACATTCTGGTAGTTCTTGGCCTACTGGAACTATGATGTATATTTAAGGAAATTCTCTGTAAACAATCTGTAGGTTTAGGTGAATTGTACACCAGTTATTGAGCAATCATTTTATTCTCTAGGGCAATAATTCTTCCATTCATCTCAAATTGGCAGGAAAGAAAGTGATAATACCTATTTGTGGAATGCAACCTTTAGAATAAAATCTATATTATGTTTGCCCTAAGCCCACTTTCCCACATGTCAGTAACTGCAATGTTATCTTCCATGGTGCTACAAATTGCATCTCTCGATGTTTATGAATAATAAATGCCAGCACACAAACGTATTACCAATTAGTTGACCAAAAGAAGGTTATTAGTATCATGGTATTTTATTTAATCCATGTACTTAAAAGTAAATTTCAAATATTAGCCTATTTTGTTTGTATCTTTGTTTTATTTTTTAATTTAACTTTAATTTTGATATAACTGTAGATTTACATGCAATTACAAGAAATAATAGAGAGATCTCATGTGAACTTTATTCGATTTCCCCAATGATAACACCTTGAAAAATTATAGTACAACATTAAGCTAGGATATTGTCGATGAAAAAGTTCAGATACAGGATACTTACACGTTGAAATAGCTTTGCACTTTTGGAATAAACCTCACTTGGTTCATAGTGTAGAATTCTTTTTCTCCTTAAAGATTGGCACCTGAGCTAAAAATTGTTGCCAATCGTATTTTTTTCTTTTTCTCTTTTTCTTCTCTCCAAAGCCCTCCCCGGTACATAGTTGTATATTCTAGTTGTGATGCCTCTGGTTGTGCTATGTGGGATGCCACCTCAGCGTGTCCTGACAAGTGGTGCCACGTCCTCACCTGGGATCCGAACCTGCGAAACTCCAGGCCACCCGAAGTGGAGCACACTCAGCTACAGGGCCAGCCTCTAGAATTCTCTTTACATACTGCTGAATCCTATTTATTAATATTTTGTTAGGGAGTTTCTATATGTATATGTGTGAGGGATATTGGTCTGTAGTTTTGTTTTGCTTTTATTATTTTTTTAGTTATATTTTTCTGTTATCTTTATGTTAGTGATTTCTGATTTGATTCCACTATGGTAGAAGAACCCAGTTTGTATGATTTCAATTCTTTTGAATTTGTTGAGGTTTGTTTTATGGTCTAGGATATGGTCTATCTTAATATGTTTTGTGGGCACTTGAAAAGAATGTTTATTCTTCTGCTGTTGGGTGAAGTGTTCTATAAATGTCAATTAGATCCTTTTGGTTGATGTTGTTCAGTTCTTCTATTTCCTTGTAGATTTTCTTTCAAATGCTATCAATCAATTAGAAAGAGGTATTGAAGTCTCCAACTATAATTGTGGATTTGTTTATTTTTCCTTTCAATTCTATCAGCTTTTGTTTCATGTATTTTGGAGCTCTGTTGTTTGCTGCATACATGTTTAGGATTGCTATGTCTTGGTGGAATGACTCATTTATTATTATGTAATATTACTCTCTGTCATATCAGTGTTACTGCCTATTCATTGTTTTTTTCTCTCAAATATGAAATTCTCTTAGTATGATGAGTGATTTTTGTTTGAAAACTGAATGTTTTGGGTATCATGTTACGAGACTCTGGATCTTAGTCAGTCTTCTGTTTTAACTGTCTTTCTTTTACTCAACTCCAGCAAGGGAAGGGGAAATAAACACTGCCTCACGACTGCTAGGTGGGAAAAGAAGTCTAGGCTCCCCCTTTGACCTGGCTTCCCACTGGCCTCCATCTGGCTATGAGAGGTAGGAATGCCTCATTACTGCTCCCCACTTGACCTCCATCAAAACCACAGAATGAGTAGTCTCATTATCACTGGGTAGTAGTGGAAGTCCTGCCTCTCCACTAGGGTTCCTCTGATACCAGTCCAGCAGAGGAGAGAGTCACCTTTTTATGGCCAGAGAGGGGTGGAAGCGCAGGTCTCCTGTGTGGCCTCCATGTAAGGTAGGGAGAGTGTTTACTTACTGCCTGGTTGGGATGCAAATCTCTGATCCCTCCTCAGCCTTCTCTGACACCACCCTGGCAGGGGGATTAGGACACACTGTTACAGCCTGGCAAGGGTGGAGGTCACCTCGACTAGCCTTTATTGGCATGGATAAGGATTGTGCCACAGACGGTTTTTGTTTTCCTTTTTTTTTTTTTTTGTATTTTTGGTGTTCGAATGGAGCACAGTGGTTATTGCCTAAAGTTCTCTGTCCCTTTCCTTGTCCTTTGGCAAGAGAAAGCAGGCTTTCGTTGTTTTTGTTTGTTTGTTTTAGTTTTTTGTTGTTGTTGTTTTGTCTTCACCTCTTGCTGTTGCCAGGTTTTTGGCTTCTTAGGCTCAAAATCTTGGATACATGATGCAAACAGAGAACACCAGGGACTCCCCATCATGTCAGGAGGCCCCAGGGTCTCTAGCTGGTCTGCCTTATCTTCTCTATTCATATCATTCTATGCTTGTTTTATATGGCATGTCCAGAGATTTTAGTTGTAATTAGAGAGCAAAAGAGGGAAAAGTATATTCTCCACTTTCCCAGAGGTGAAGTCCGTGTACTTTTGTTAGTTTAATGACCATGATTCTTATGTATTTTTGGCCATCTAAAAAGTCCATTGTTTCCACACAAGGATTTCTTCTAAGCTACTCACACAGAGTAGAGTGGTTAGTGCTGGGCCACATAATAGAGACAAGATTGGAGTGCATCAGAGACCTAAGTTCTGCTCTGGCAACCCAAAGAAGCCAGAAAGGGACATACATACATAATATTTCTGCTGTTCTGAAGTGTGTTGGTTATCTAGAGGAAAAGCGCTTGTGCCATTGTTTGTACTGAGAGCTGCAATAACCATGCTTTTTATGGAATGCTATTTTTACCTGAATGCACAATTGAGATAAACTATGGTTATTCAGACTTAGGCATTTGGCAGACATTTTCTTGAAAGTGAACACAGTAAGTACATCACTTAAAAGAAAACAACTGGTGATTATTTTGCCAATGATACAATTTGAGCTTTCAAGGAAATATCAGAATTTTGGAAACTTTGATTTCATTATTTGATAGGTTCTCAATATTTAAAGACATTTCTGATGAGACCATTGGTGATATTAATGAATATGACTTTTTAATATTGTGTAATGAGATATTTCAACATTTGAAAGATGTGCATATACTGGTTCAGTGAACCAGTATAGTACAAATGATCTATGCTTGATATTACAAAATAAATATGGGGAAAATATCCATTCATAATGTAGGACAGATCAATGGATTTTAATGTAATAAGTAGAAAAAGTTCGTTGATATGGTTTCAGATTTGGCAGTGCAACTGAACTTTTGAGAAATGACCACTTGTTGAGTTTTAGGGTAGAAAAAAAGAAGATCCACAATTATCAGAAAATATTTTTAAAAATACTTCTCCTGATTTTATATCTATGTGAGGTTAGATTTTCTTCAAGCTCTTAACCAAACACCATATTGTAATTGATTGAGTATAGAAGCAGACATAGAATTCAGATGTCTTCTTTTTGCAAAAACATAAAGCAGTGCTATGCCATTTACTATCTTTTTGAAAATGTATTTTTAATTACGTTATTTATGCTATCATGTAATGATTAATTTTTGTTCTTTTAATGAATCAATAAATATTTTCAAATTTTCTCAGTTTTAGTTTTAAAAATGGTAAGTAGCTATAAATATAACCCACATTAAAAAAAAGCTTGTTGGAGCTCTCCATATATTTATAAGAGTTGTAAAAAGATACTAAAACCAAAGTATTTCAGGTCAATCACCATAGAAGTTTACAAAGCAGTCCTACATATACATGGGACATAGTTAATTTGTCTTTGGTATCCTGAAGTCTCTCAACTCATATTTGTTAAATGAGTAAATGCATAAAAATAGAATTCTGCTCTTTCTTTGTAGTGCTTACTGCTAATGAGTGGTGGTATTTTCCCCAAGATTTGTCCCAAGGAATTAAAATCTCTGTATGTCTAATGCCTGATTCTACACTTAGAAGAGGTACATTATTGTTTTGCTCCTTAAAGATCCTCTAGGACCTTAAGTTGAATTATTGGAAAATGAGATTATTCTTTAGCAAATGGCCATTTTCTACAGCAGGGAACTTAAAAGATGGGAAATTAAATGAAAGCTGTCTATTTTAAATAAATACATATCATGAATACTAATAACCTATGCTAAGTTATAAGGGAAGTTGGGAAGACTATTGAAGATTACAGAGATGACAGGAGTGGGGGAAAAGGGAAACATTTCTTGCGTATGTAGTAGGAGTTAGGTATGCTTACATGCTCACAATAGCCTAAGTGTGTAATTATTAAACAAATTTTAAGAATGAAGGAGAAGATGCTAATAATGTTAGAAATGATGCTCAAATACAGTGCCATATGCCTTCAAAAACCAGTGTTTCAATCTACTTTAAAGGGCCTTGCCCCATTCTGGGAAGTTCTCTGTCTTTTTCTTTCCAGTGTAGCTTCCTCAGATGGCCATTGCCAGCACATAATACCAGCACCTTTTAATTTGTAGCAAAGATGCTACACGCCTTAAATAAATTACTTTCTCAAAATTCACGTTTGGTAAGAACAATTTGCATGCCACCACAACTAGTAATAAAGAGAAGAAATGGAAGAGTTATTTAAAAATGTATAACTATGTGGGGACTAGCACTCCATTTTTTTTTTTTTTTTTTTACAGACAGTGCTCAGGCTATATCATTATCACATTTCTTACTAAAAGTTTACTGAGTATACTATAATAAGTGATAATATCCCCCAAATTTAAACTATTCCGTTTTTAATGTTTTTTTTCCTGAAAGAATTATAAAATTTTGAGTTTTCACCACCGAGATGTCTAAACAATGTCATTGGGTTTAAAGGAATCTGTCTCTGCAAAAATTAAAATGCACCTACTGTTCAGAGTCCTAATTTTTAGCAGACTATCACTGCATCCTGACTAGAGAGTTTCTAATGGCCAGATAAAATGGATATACTCTGGTCTTGCCATCCTTCTGCTTTGAACAACAAGGCACTGACTAAGAATTTAACAGGCATTTGTATATACAAGACTTATGCTTGACTTGTTTTTTGTGAACTTAGAACATGTCTTAACTCTTCTCTGAGAGCAGCTTCCAACCTAGATATCCTAAAACATACATCCGTAAGCACAAATCCTCCTCCTTAATATAGCAGTCCCTATTTTATTTCAGACTTTAAAAATCTGTAATGTTGTCTCCTGATTAAAGAGTCACATTTAAAGCAAACCCACTTGGAAAGTAATACACAAGACACTTGTTTGAATTCCTTACTTGTTAAAAGAAGGGTTCTATTTTCCCTGAGAACTTGGAGTAAAGAGAAAAAAGGTTATCCTTTGAACCAAATGAGTTGAATCAGCTCATTCAGTTAGAAGGAGACAGATTGTCTCTTAAATTCATTGGAATAGCTACTTCACTGAAGATGGTGCTTTAGCTTAATCAGTGAATATTAAATATCACAGGACTGTTGTGAGGATTAATTAATATAGCATGTGAGAAATGGGAAGGTCTGACACATAGGGATTTTTATTGTTATTATTGTGATCAGGATCATTACCTGATCAAAATATCAACAAGGTTGGCAAAGTGGTAATTCTGGGGAGTTAAGCAACCCAGGCTTGGAAAGGTTTTCCTGGTCTGAGGAACTCTCTCTCAAAAGCTTCCACCTCTGTTCTGAGTCAGTGTACAGCAATCCATATCAAGCTACTCAGCTTTCTGATTCCCTCAGAATTGGTAAAGATGTATAGGAGAGGACTTGAGCCTTCTCATCACTAGAATGTCTCACCCCGCCTAAGCAATCTATTTGGCATTCTGGTTTACACAATGTCTCAGCTGAACCTATTTTTTGAGTCAATGTGATCATCTCTGGATGTCCTAAGAAGGTCCATTTCTCAGGCAGGGAGACCGAAAACTGGGTCGTCCGTTGAGACTTCATTGTTGGCTGGCTGCTGGCTTTTCTCTTCAAATATGCACACTATGATCTTAAAACCTCATTCAAATTTCAAAACTTCTGTTATCTTTCATTAAAGCCCAGAGCTCCTTTACTACTTTCTAGACGGCTCCTCAAGAAACCCTAGCAAATGAAGAGGTAAGATGCTTCCCCAGTGATGTGTTTGGCAGTCACAATCAAATAGAAAGGATTGGAGGGATGTAAGAAAAGAGGTTCTAGAGAATCATAACAGTAGTTTTTTTGGGAAAGCTGTTATACGAAGATAAACTAGATTTTTAAATGGAGTATAGCTTAAGAGGACAAAACAAGGACCAATTATTAGAAATCCATTCCAGGCGTTTTAGAACCATCCTCAGTGTGTTGCTCAACTTTCTGCCTCATGTTCAGTCAGCAAGAGCTTCTGACACTCCACACTCTAGAGTATACAAGAGTTCCTATACTCTAACCAACTCGTCTTCATCTCATTCTCCCTACCTTAAATCAAGCCATCACCATTCATTGTCCTCCCAATAGTTCATTAATTAATCTTTCTGTATTCTTCTGCTAAGACCACTAGCTTCACATCTTTCTGAAATATAGACAGGAGCATATCAATTTCCTGCTGAAAAACCTCTCACAACTCCCATTGTCTATAGCAGTGTTTCACAAAACAAGGTATGTGGCCATATTCTTGAAGATATGAACATTATATCATGATTTTTAAATACAGATTTTCAAATGTATCTCTTTTACAGGGAAGATATGAAAAGCACTTACACAGAAAAAACTTTAGTTTTAATTCCCTAGGGATCTGTGGACATATTCTTAGGGGCCTATGACTTTTTTCTTCCTCCACAGAAGATTGAGAAACACTGGTATACATGGTATATTCTAAACTCTTTATACCTCTTGGTATTTCCCAATATAATCATATTATTATAGCTATATACAACTTCTCATTTTTTTTTGTAACTCATCTCACACTTTCACACTTCTGTTCCATTGCATATGTTGTTCCTTCTGCTAAACATGCCTTTCCTCTTCCTTTCTTTTTTGGGGAGAAATTATTGATATTTCAAGATCTAGTTCCATTTTCACGTTCTTGGGAAATATTTCTGGTCTATCTCTGGGTTCTTACCTCGTTTCATACAGACCATCATATTGCGTTTTCCACATGTGTTCATGTGGTGTTTCCTATTAGATGGTGAGCTCTTTGAGGTCAGCCACTGTGTAACAGTCATTCTTGTATGTATTTGCACTTTCATAATTCCCCACAGTATCAAGATCCTGGAGGGCTCTTTAATTTGAATGGAATTAGAATTTTTCCCAATGTAAAGAACTTCCTGTTCCCCCTTGTGAGGTAGGTTAGTCCCCACCCTGGAATAGCCACATGGGGATACTATCATAGGGTCATCTCAGCATAGTATGGGATATTAGACTGAATACATTGAGAAATGTCTTCAACCATAAGTTTCCATGATGCTAAGTTGCACGGTGCTTAGGCTTGGGAACACACCATTAAATCAGAGTCTTTCCTATTGTACCTTCTTCTGTTCTGGGTAACACTGCTAGGAAATCTGCCTGAAAAACCTGTAATGCACTCCAGTTCCCTTTGCTCTTGTCTCCTTGTTTTTGGGAATTCTCCCTGAACAGCTATGTATCTCCAGAAAAGCTATCTATCTCCGGGTACATCTTGAGAATTTTTCTTTGCCATCCTTCCTCCTCCTTATTTTCCACTACGCTTAGCGCATCGTGATCTATTTTCTCAGGACTTAGCTTTTACTTGGTTTCTATGCTACCTGTCAGAAAAATTAATGACTGATAACTGAGTTGTCAATAACTAATCCAAGTTTAACATTATAATAGCTGCCATTTACTGAAGAAATTTTATAAGTTCCTTAAATGTATTATATTATTTAATCCTCACATGAACCTCATAAATTATTATTCTTATCTACTTTTTACAGATGATGAAAACTAAGGCCCAGAAGTAAAGTAACTTATTCAAGGTAACGTATCTAAGAAGTGGTAGAGTTTGGATCAAATTCCACTCAATCTGATTGCCTTTAACTTCTTCACTAAACTGCCTATCCTCTCCCACCCCCAACACACATCCCAGTGGTAATTTTGCATTAGCACTATAATAAATGTGAAGTACAAGATACCACGTGTGGTCAGAGACTTGCACATAAGAAGATTATTCTTTGAATCTCATAGCCCATACTTCATGGGACCAACTATTTAGCCTAATCAGAAAATTACCTTTTAGAATGCATACTTATTTTTCTCCCGCTTTATCTAGGAACATGAGCGTCTTTTATGCAATTCACAAATTGCACATCTTCAATATTTATTTCAGCATTTAAATCTAAGAGGAAAGCTGAGGTTATGTAAATAACTTCAGTAGTAGAAAACACAACAGCACCTCCCTCCCAAGATTGGCTGTGAAAATTTGTTCTATGGGATGTATATTACAGACCTATCACAAGGCCCCAAATAAAAAAGGGCAGCAATAACTATGAGATTCAACCAAAACCAGCGATTCAATTCTACCTATTTATTGAGGGAGCAGAGAGCAATGGTTGCCTTTGCTCCTGCTTCTCCAATCTTGCTTCTTTCACAGCTATATTCACCTGAGTGCTCCTTCTAGGCTGAGACAATCCACATCTCCACCCTATCCCATTTGAGATAAAATGTGTCTCTCCAGGGAGCAAAACTTGCTCCCAGATCTTTGTCTCTAACATCCTTTCCCACTGAAGGGAACCAATGTTTCTTGGAGATATGGCTGATTCCAGGCCTGGGGCAGTGTAGGTACAAGATGACTCTAGAATGTTTTGTTATACCAGAAAGAAAGAAAGTGCTAAAAAAAGGAGGGGATATGAAACAGAGACATAAGAACTAGCTTAAAGGTGTGCCCATGGGTGAAATCTGGGATCACTTAAGCATCAAGATAATCATGTATATTAATGAATTATACACTATTGAAAAAATTGGAAGTCTTTACTTCATACAATAGATAGATAGATAGATACACAGATATATAGTTAGATATAAAGATTGGAAGGCTCTTGCTAACAGTAGAATCCTGAGTGCTGTCTAATTAATGTAAAAGCAGTGTTGAGATTGGAAAGTAATAATTTTGTAGCCACCAATGAATGGGAACTGCAGGAGAAAATTGTGATGAGTAGCAGGATATTTGCATGGTCTTAAAAAGGTCTCTAAGTAGTCAGTTTATTAGATGAAAGAGAAAAAAGGTAATTATGCAGTGGGGAAATTGGACCACACTTGGAGCAGGTAATCAACTTACCATCACTGTTGTGAGAAAGATGGTCAACACGTGCCTCCAGAAGTGATTCGGTCTTAGAAAGACACAAAATCACCCATGTAGAATTCTAACTAAGAATGCATTACCAGCATCCAATTGTGAGTAAATATCAGACAAATTTAAAATGAGGAAAATTCTCTTTAAAAATGAGGAGAGGGACTGTATTTCCCCCAAATACCAACCTCATTAAAAAAAAAAGGCTGTGGAACTCTTTCAGATTAGAGAAGGCTAAAGAGATATGACAACTAAATGCTACCTGACCCTAGACTGGATCTTGTCACAGAGAGAAAATGCTATAAAGGATATTATTAGGTCATTGAAAAAATTTAAAAATAGATTAGAATAAAACATTATATCAATATAGAATTTACCAAGATTGATGACTGTTCTGCAGTTATATAAGATAACATTCCTATTCTAAGGAATAACGCACTGAACTATCCAGGGGTAAAATGTTCTGATCTATGTAACTTACCCTCAAATGGTTCATACTGGGAGAGAGAGAGAAAGAAAGAAAACAAGATAAAATGTGAACAATAAGTGAATCTGGCTAAAGGGTATGTGTGTGTTTTTGTACTGTTATTATTGTTGCAAATTTTCTGTGAGCTTAAAATTAATTCTGAACAAAAGTTCAAAGAAAAGAGCAAAAAAATTGTGTCCCTGGTCAGGAAAAGCCCTTGTTGATAGCTCAGATCAATGTTCTCTAACATCTTCCCACCAGTACAAGGGCTTTATACAACAAGTACAGATAATCTAAGCTAAACAGTGGATTAGGTGCAGTTTGAAGTGCTTTAGATATTTTTTATGTATTCAGTTATCAAACACTTATTGAACACCTATTATGTGCCAGATAATGTGCTCAGATATGCCTTTACTCTCCTCTTCAATAAAGCATACTAGACTGTGTGTGAATGAGAATAAATTATTGAAAAAAAAAGAAAGTAATTTACAAACATAATTTATTAGCGCAGTCACACATTGCTTAATAATGGGGATATGTTCTGAGAAATGTGTCTAGGCAACTTCTTCGTTGTGCAAACATCACAGAGTGAGTACTCACACAAACCTAGATGGTATAGCCTACTACACACCAGGCTATACAATATCATTCTTAGGGGATCATCGTCATATGTGGGGTCCATCCATCATCACAACCAAAACATCGACATGTGGTGCATGACTGTAGTAGCAAATTACTTACCCGATGTCCTCTACTCACTCTGTGCATTATAAATTTATTTGAAAACCTCTGGCTGAGTTGACACAGCTCAAGTCACTTTTCTTCTTTGACTTGAGGCCTAGAGAAGGGAGGCTCCTCTACTTCATTTCTGCGGCCAGCCCATGTTCCTTAATAACAAAGTTCTCGCTTTCTCACTGCTAGGAAATCTGCCTGAAAAGGCTATAAAACACTCTAGTTCCTTTAAGAATGGAGTTCCACTTTTCAATGTCATTAAGTCAGCATCTGGAGTACTGCTGTTAATTTCTGCGTAGTTCAACGGGACACTCAATCCTCCAAGATGGTGACTGCCAACTTGTGTGTATGTGTGCCTTTGTCTCAGTATGTGGGCTCTGAGACTCCTGAGCACCATCCATTGGCTACTTATATTATCGAAGGACCAGCTTGATATTGTCTGCCCTCAAGAAACTCTCAACTCACTCTGGGTCATTAGAGTACAATGGAAAGAACTCTTGGATTTTGGTGCTTGACAAATCTAGGAAGAGATTTAGCTTGGCTCCCTACAGAATGAGCAATGGCAGCCAAATTACTTAATATCTCTGATCCTGTTTCCTCTCTTTAAACTGGAAATAATGATGCTATCTTCCTCAGAGGATGGTTGGAAGAATTGAGATAATGCGATACAAAATGTTTGGCACAAAGTCTTGCACACAGTGATTACTTGGAACACGTAAATCATTAGTATTACTTTAGAAAGATGAACATAATCCTAGTGGTGCAGGATTCCTCTTTAGGGTGATACTCTTCTTGTTGAAATTGCTCCTGGGAGAGAGCAAGGCCCTGAGGTTATGCACTGAAAAGATTTAAGGAAAGAGACAGTGAAACTACTTTGTACAGTTGAGCAACAGAAGTTAGAGGATAAACAACAAACGCGATGATAAGAAAACAAAAAAAGTCAAGGAGACCAAAGTTTTGTCCACATGGTAGGGTGCCAAAGAGTTTTTAGGAGGAGGAATGTCAGTGCTAAATTTTGAATTGTCTGCCTTGTCACAAGTTAGCCCCTTATGTCTTCCCAAACCTCTGGTTAAATGGGTGACTTGAATGTTCTTGGTTTGTTCATTTGTTTTGTTTGCAGGTTTGTTTCCATAACGCAAACTGGGGTGAAGGATGGGTTTCATGACTGGGACAGTGTTGAGCAGAAAAGAATGAACAGGGAAGATGCAAGCAAGATTGGGAGCTTTGCAGGAGAAATAAGTATGACCTAGAAGAGACGATGAGAAGGAATCTCTGATGAAGCACAGAAATCTTGAGGATAACGGGATGGGGCTTAACCTAACATAAGAGTTTTATCCTCATTATAGTCAAAAGAGTGGACTTGCCTCAAAGAGTCTAGTGTCCAGAATATTTTAAATTAGACAAAAGTACTAAAACTTAGAAAAGTCAGATAGGTCCACAGTCCTTTGTCTATAATTCCAAAATAGAAAAAAGGGCTGAATATGTATTATTTTGTTTGGCCCCAATACTATTTTAGTGGAAAAACCTGACTTTATTGGCCATTAGACTGCCTATTTATTATCTCTATTTATTTTCATGCTGGGTATATTCATACATTTTGCTGAAGAGTTATTAATGTGTTGGATTATGGTATTCTTCCTAGACTCTGCTAGGGTTATTGGGCCATATATGCCTCATGTCCTCACTGAACTCAGAAAATTCTGAATTCTCAGACACTTATAGACCCAGGACTTTTGATAAGAGACTATAAACATGAATGCAGAGAAAAAGAAATTTTAAGTAAGTGAAAAAAGTGGATTACCTTCCAGTGTATTTCTAAAGCTGAAATTGGCAGTTTTATCCATGGGACCTGAATCATAGTGGATCAAATTCAGGCAAAACTCCACATCCTCTGAGGAGGGGAGCCTCGGGGTCCTGGCTTTGTCGTGGTTTCCAGGATTGCGCAGCAGCGGTCCCTCGGGAGTTCCGTTGCATAAAGCTTGACGGCTGTTGTAGTCGTCCAGTCGGCTGCAGACTATCTGCACGAAACACCTTTATGTTAAAGGCGCTGTCACCACCTCTGAGTCAAAAGGGGAAGTAGGGAGGTTGGAATTCCTGATTACCATATTTGGATTGCCAATCATCAGGAGATTAATATTTTGGAGTATATTGCTAAAGGAAGCAATTTTCTGAGGGTTGCACAATAAGCTATGAAAGTTAAAAGCTAGAAAAGAGTTCTAGTCTTGCATCTACACTTAAGAAAGTGAATTAAATTCCCTAGGTCTCATCTATCAAATGGGGATAATAATTACTTCATATAATTGTTGAATATTTATTTGCTGAGAAAATTAATTTGACAAACATCTGTTAAACATCCTTTGTGTGACTTCACTGCTTGATTGCCCATGAGGCTAGCCCTGGCCCAGAGTTTAGGTCTGTATCCTCTTCTTTCATCTCTCTCTACATCTTCTCCTTTGGCTATAAGAGCCAGTTTCATGGCTTACGTGCCAACT